AGAGAGATAATGGAAGAGAGACTTATAAACTATAAAACTGGAACCCTGATACAATGTGATATTACAGAAACCCAAAGAGTCCCAGCAAAGTTGTGAAATGAGTTAGCTGAGGATTCCGGCCCTCAGCTGGTCTGCTCTCCTCTGTTGTGAGACCCTGTAGAATACGGATGGAATTACTGTCTTCCACTGGAATTTGAACACGTAACTGAATCTTGGATTCCTCAATAGACGAAATGTAACTCCCCCTTCTTAAAACCCACTGTTTGACAACATTTACAGAAATCAAGGAGTATCATGGTGAATGCACAATGACGCAACCTAAAGTATATGAGGAACCTGCGTATGGAGGGAGGTACCTTGTATTATATAGACCATATGAAAATAGAAGTCATGTTTATTAATCGGTTTATTTTGAGTTAATTACAATTGATATGGGACTGTGAAAACTAGTAAAATGAGATCCTGTATGAGCGTCATCTGATTTCTCCCAGGGATTGATTCTAGCAAAGCTAGACTACAGCTTCACTCCCAGGAATGCAGTATAGGTACAATCATTCTCAGCAACACAAGGAGCCCACCCACTGCTCTTTCTGGTCGTACCTTTGTCCCTTCCAGCCACCTACCACCCCTTCAACCCTAGCAACAATCAGTCTGCTTCTTTGCTATGTTTTCATATCTCAAGAATGTGTAGAGGTTACATTAATGCTTAAAGTGCGACATAAATTATAGAATGCAATCTTGCGAGCTGATATCTGAATTGTTTCACATTTGGGAGTACTGGAGATAAATCTGCTATCCTTTGTTTGCAGGTTTTTAAGGAAACCTGAGATTTCGTTTCTTAGAAAATGTTATCAACGGTGCCATCATAGGTCAAATGATGATTTTCTTTTTAGGTTTTTTTTAACCTCCAGCCATTACCAGAGTGGTTGCCCCCGTTTTCATGCCCACTGTAACGCATGGATGTTCTAACTTTTCTGCATTTTTGCCACCATTAATGTTTTCATTGTTTAAATAAGCTAATAAGAGAGATACATAATTGTATAATGATTTGCTTATGATTACATTTCCTCGTGATTGAGTATTGTTACATGTGTTTCATGTGCTTGTGTACCAACACGTAATATATTTTTATGTGTTTTCTGTGTTCTGCAGTTGCATTGTTCTGATTTTTTTTTTCCCTTGTGCTGCTGAATTTTGAGAATTCTTTATAAATTTCTGGATACTAATCCTTAGACAGGTAAGTAGGTTAAAATATTTTCTCCTCTGTAGCTTCTTTTTTATCCTTGTCATAGCATATTTTCCAAAGGGGGAAAAAATTAACTTCAACGAGATTCATTTTATCAGTCTTTCCATTTATGGATTCTATTTTTCAAGATTAAAGATCCTTTACCTAGTTCTAAGTATTACAATGTATTGTACATTTTTAATCTAGATTTTTCTGGTTTTCATCTGTGCATTAAAGCCAGAGACACATATGAGCTCAGTTTTGTATAATTTGTGAGATTTTTAGGTCAATGTTGAAATTACTTACGAATGTCCAATTGTTCCCGCATCATATGTTAGACTGAAAGTCATTTCTAAATTGGATTTGCTTTGTATTTCTGTCAAAAATTCAGTTAGGCAAATTTCTGTGAGTGCATTTCTGGGTTCTCGCTCCTGTCCCATTGATCAGGTCCATCTGACCCTCAACCAATAATACAGTCATAATTAGCATACGATGTGGTCTGGAAATCAAATGTACTCATTCTTCTCAGCTTATTCTTTTCTACAATTATTTTGTTCAGTTTCTTCCCCTTTTCATATAAATCTCAGGATAATCTTGCACTTAGTATCTACCAAATGTCTTGCTGGGATTTTGATAAAAAAAATTGAGATACATATCTCTGGGGTTTTGATAAAAATTGATATAGACAGATAAAGACATAGATATAGATATATCTGTTTGGGGATAAGTGACATCTTTCAGTGCTGAGATTTCCAGTCTAGGAACAAGATATGCCTCTCTATTTATCTAGTAGGGTCCTTTCTTTCATCAAAATGTTATACTTTTTAGTATAGAAGTCCTATACATGCTTTGTTAGACGGGCATGCTTTATTTTTCGGTGGTTATAGAGCTCAAGCCTGAAGGAGCTCTGACAGTGTAGACTTTGGCCTGCACTAAAAGCCGGAGAACCAGGAACACCCATGTCCAAGGGCAGGAGTAGGTGGGTAGCTCAGTCAAACAAGAGAAAGCAAATCTGCCTTTCCTGTGTGTTTTTGTTCTACTGAGGGCCTGAGGGAATTGAATGATGTCCATCTGCATTGGTTAGGGAGACTTTTACATAGTCGAATGGATTCTCATGATAATCTCTATTAAAGACTGCCTCACAGATGTGCTGCAAAATAATTTTCTATCAACAATGTGAGCATCCTTTGGCTCCTACCAAGTTGTCATATAAGAGTAACCACATCAGGTTTCTCTCCAAATATACACATATATATTACGCTAGATAGGCCAATTCTGCAGATACAGCATACCGCATGATTACCTTACTTGGAGGTAACCATACTTACTATGCAAAAGGATTTAGGGCACTCACTGTGCCTAAATGACCTTGGGCTCCCAGCTTTCCTTACAATTCATAGGTGGAATGTCCTGAGACTGAAATATCCCAGATAGGGAGGAACTGTGCAGTAGAACAAGATGCGCTGTAAGGCTGGAGCTCAGGAAATTTAAGAGTCAAGTACTCTGCGTACCGACCCCTCAGAATGTGAAACCTGAGATCCTTCAGGCACAGTACAGAGTGATGCAAGTGCACATGAGACTGCATCTGCCATGTGCAGCTTCCTTTGGGCTTGGGAGCTGGCTGATGAAGTCACTTTGCCTGAATTGTGTGTTTCGATTTGTTTAGTTTTGTGGTACTAGGATTCGAACTCAGGACCTTCTATTCGAAAGGCAAGTGTGGTGCCACTCAGCCAAGCCCCCAGGCCTGAATTGCGTGTTTTGTCTTCGTGGAATCATACTCAGGTCCCTGAGTTTGTACAAAGGAATCATACCAAAGATTGGGGAGTTATTTACTGTCCTCCACCAGAGTTGGTAACTATTGCCTGATGTTCCACTTTGGGGAACTGATATGAGGACACACATTCTACTTACTATCCTGTAAATTTCAGATTTTCTAAGGTGATTGATCTTAATAAAAATAAAACAACTACGTAACTACATTAATTATCTCTATTTGGGTGAATATTTGCAATGTATTTGTACACTGTATCATCACATCATTTATTTTAAAAATATGTAGTAAAAATTTCCATATCTCTTTAAAACGAGCTCCTTGAGAAATGAACACAGCACCATTATTACAGAAGAAAATAAAATAAGACTATTTTTGGATCATTCTATTTCTAAATCCAGTATGTGGCTAATATTTTAATTTTCTTGAGTGTATAGAAATTATCTCTCAGTTTGCCTTTCATGTCATTTGCTTTGCACACACATGCACACACATACAAACACAAAAAACTGACTTTCATCAAGTGTTATTAAAGAACCTCAGAGCTCGCTGTATCTTATTCTTCAGACTGGTACCTACAGACATTCCATCTAATTCCAAATAAGGAAGCATGGAAGTTGGTTTAGACTAATAAATGCTAACTTTCTACCAAAGCGCTGGCAGAGTCACTATGATCAAGGAATTAAAATATTATTGCAAGGGCCAAGGATGAAGCTCAGTGGTGCTGTGCCTGCTGTGCCTGCCGTGCCAAGTGCAAGGTCCTGAGTTTGATTCCCGGTACTGGAAAAAAATTATATTATTATTAGAAGTACAAGGTGGAGAAATAGCACTGAATGCCACTGCAGCATGTTGAAGTTGGATTGCGAGCAACATAAATCTCTGAAGGAAACTGCACGGCTAAAGCTGCAACCAGCATTTGCATGGTTTTGAAATATGTATTCGGCTGCCAAAAAAGTCTTGTTTAGCTGTTGGTCTTCCCCTTGGGTTTTGGCACAAGAAAGATTTTGATGAATGCTTCAGAGTGTATCTCAGCAAATACGACTGAAATAAAGCAATGAACTGAGGGCAGAGTAGAAAATACTTCTGAGACAATGAATGTCACTTTGATACTAGAGAGTTAACAAATAGGCTTCACATAATAAGAAGGTCGCAGCCCTTCGTGTCAGGGACACAGTATCAGCAAAAGAAGTACAAGGAGCTTCCTGTTCTTTTTATAGTCTTCATTTTGCAAAAACAAGAAAATGTTATCTTCATACTCTTAGTTTCTAGAATAATACAGCTAATAAAATCACATTTTTTTTACAGTTAGGTTTTTTTGTTAACTTTTTAACTTCAGCAAATTCACCAGATTGTTATTAATAAGCTCAATATTCGACATCTTTTTGAACTTACATTTTTCAAATAGCTAGATTATATCAAAATAATGTTAAAATCTCATGATTTTATAACCACTAACTTTTTACTATCATATAGTTATACATTTTTAAAATTAAGTCTCAAAAGTATGTTTAGCTGGCACAATTGAATTTCTCACAAAGACTTTTTCTCACAAAGACTTTGTCCTTTCAACAAAGACATTTTATTTGTGAGTTGTCTAAATAGGACTTAATCTTTATTTATTTTTTCTACTCTGGAGCTTTGAAGTACCATGCTTCTAAAGAAAAAGAGAAACGCTTCTTATCAAAACCCATGTTTAAAAAAATCTACAAGCTTGAACACATAAAATGAGTACACTAAAGCATTTTGCAATTATAAAACATGCAGCATTGGTCAGATAATACCTGTTAGCATGTCACCCTTCTGTCACACTGAGAGAGCAGGATTTTGCAGAACAAGTAATGGGAGAACATCAGGTAATCCCTGATGTGAAACGCCATCCTGGAGGGCACGCCATGGCCAGCTCCAACAATGCTAGCATTACTCCTAGCTTTCCTCATGTTATTTCTGAGGACATTAACTCATCACTGCTGTGGCAGCTCATTCAAGGAAGATCTAACAGGCAGCATAGATCTCCTCAGAGCTTCTAAATAACCGTGAGCTGAATTCTGTCACAGTTATCTTTTGCTGCATAAGAACTTTTCCTAAAACAGAAAGGCTTAAAGAAACAATAATCATTTCTTTTTCTCTTACGGGTCTTGTGAGTTAGCAATCCCTGTTGACTGTCTCCAGCTTGATGTCTTTCATGAGACCACAAGCAAAGGCGTGACAGGGCTGAAGTCACCCGAAGCAAGGTTCGCATCCAAGGTGTCTCAGCTAATAGCCACCAAGTTGGTGCCGCCTATGGGATGCAGCCAGGCTCCTGCCAACCCAGGCCCCCACCTGTCTGTGTGAGTGGCTTTGTTATATAGGCGCTGTCTTCTCTCACCAACACTTGTGCTCCAGGAGACCAAGGAGGAAGCTGTGAGGCCTTTTGTGATTAATTTTGCTTCGCTGTCACATTCACACTGATCTGTCACCCCGGCCACCTCTGATTCACTGGGAGGGAGACTTCGCAAAGGTTTAAGTGTCCTGGAAGAGAATCATAGGGACATCGACTACAGTTAGCTAAGGTTACTTAAGGTTTGAACGTGATAAATACATCATTTACATATTCACTGTAAATTTACATCCTAATCTTCACTTCATATTTCCTAGTGAGCAATTCTTATTACAGTCATTGTATAAACCTCTAATGACAATGGAAAAGTTTAATCTAAGCCAAATCAAGGGGATGCTTGCACTGATTTAAATTTTTATTCAACAGAAATTCACCTGACCATGAAACTATCTCACTAGCTTCTCCTTTAAATCAGATAGAATTTCAATGCACAGGAGTTAAACAGAAATCCTTTTACTGCCTTTAAATATGTCATCTAATAGATAGCATCCTGATCATGATGCAATATAATTTTCTCAAACTGTTGCTCCTCAACATCCTCCCCTATTTTCTGTCTTTGAAAAGTTCATCAAATATGGCAATGTTTGCTTAATGATGTTCATACATACTTTTATGCAAAAAAGAATTTTAAACCCTAAATATATAGTTAATTTGCTGAATGAAAAAAAGAGTAGTTTTAATTTAAAAGAGAAAACAAATACCACATGTCATATAAAATAACAGAGACAAGAGACTTTAAGCCAGTAGAGAAAGAATAATAAAGAAAACTCCCAACTTGGTCTAATTTGGAGCCCAGAGTGCCTCTAGGAATGCATAAGAATGAATATTCCTATCTGTCCAAAGTGAATGAAACAATTAAATTTAAATAAAGTAAAATGTAAATAAAATTTACATGTAATAATGTAAATAAAATTTATATGTAATATTGTATTTAGTCTTCTAATCACTGAACGTTATAAAGTCAATTTTAGTATTGTAAGATTTTATATTTCTTTTCACACGTAAGGATGAAAAAGTGACTTGAGGCTGCCTATTGAATTTTAGACATTAAAATGATGTTTAAAAATAAAGAACCTAATGTTCAACCTAAAGCAAAAGAAGAGTAACTCAAGTCAAAACTCATACAGGGAGGAAATGATAAAGATCAGAACAAAAGTTAATGCAGTGGAGATTAAGAAAACAATGCAAAGATTCAATGAATCAAAGAGGTGGTTCTTTGAAAGATTACATGAAATTGACAAACCCTGAGCTAATCTTATTAAAAAAGGAAACAAAAGACTCAAACCCATGTAATTATGTATGAAAAGGGTGAAATCACAACAGATCCTGCAGAAATCCAGAGGATCATCAATACCTACTTTAAGAATCTATATTCTAATAAGATGGAAAACACAGAAGACAGGGACATATTCCTAATACATGTGAATTATCAAAGTTTAATCAAAAAGATATAAATATTCTAAATGAACTAATAATAGTAATGAAGATGAAGATGTAATTAAAAGCCTACCAACACAGAAAAGTGCAGGCCCTAATGAACACACTGCTGAATTTTACAAAAATTTAAAGAAGACCTAATACTACTAGTTCTCAAACTCTTTAATGAAACTGAAGGGGAAGCAATACTCCCAAATTTATTCCTGGAAGCAAGCATTACCCTGGTACAAAAACCAAAGAAGGATCCAACTAAAAACAAAGAACTATAGGCCAATCTCTCTAATGAATATAGAAGAAAAAGTCCTCAGTAAGATATTGGCAAACATAATGCAGCAGGTCAGAGAGAAAATTATTCACCATGACCAAGTAGGATTCATCCCAGGGATGCAGGGATAGTCCAACATATGAAAATCAGTAAATGTAATATACCATATTAACAAAAACAAGAACAAAAGTAATATGCTCATCTCAATAGATGCAGGAAAAGTGTTTGTAAGAGTCCAACACCCATTCATGATAAAAAAAAAAACTACAGAAAATTGAAATAGATGGTCTTTATCTCAATCTGATAAAAGCCTTCTATGAAAAATGGCAGCCAATATAATGTTAAATGGACAAAAACTGAAAACTTTCACTCTAAAATCAGGAAAAGACAATGTTTATTGTCACCAAAACTTCAACAAAGGCTTTTGGATTTAATTACCAAATTCAGTAGCATAGCTGGATACAAAGTCAAAACTCAAAAATCAATAGCATCAATGTACATAAATAACAAACTCACTGAGAAAGAAATTAAGGAAACAACACCTTTCATGATAGCATCCAAAAACATTAAACACCTAGGAATTAACCTAAGGAAGTAAAAGATCTTTACACTGAAAACTACAATACTCTGAAAAAGGAGATCAAAGAGATTATCAGAAATTAAAAAGTTATCACTTGCTCTTGGTAAGAAGAACCACATAGTGAAAGTGACCATACTTCCAAAATTGTCACACATATTTAATGTAATCCCAATCCAAAATACCAACAACATATCTCACAAAATTAGAGAACATAATTCTAAAATTCATTTGGAACCAGAGGAGACCAAGAAAACCAAAAGGAATTCTGGGTGATAAAGGCATGAAAAGGGGCATCACAATTTATGATTTGAAATTATACTACAAAACTACTGTGATAAAAACAGCATGGCAATGGCAAAAAAAAGACCCAAGGATCAATGGAACAGATTAGAAGATACAAACACAACTCCAAAGAAAGTCAGCCCTCATATCTTTGACAAAGGAGCCAAAAACCTCCAATGGAGGAAAGATAGCCTCTTTAATAAATGGTGCTGAAAAAAGTGGCTCTCCACATGCCAAAAATTAAAATATGAGCCATGTCTCTTTCACAATGCACTAAACTAACATAGAAATGGAACAAAGATCTAAATATTAAAACAGAAACACTAAATCTGCAGAGAGATATAATAGATAAAACTCTTGAAGATATGGGTATAGGCAAAATTTTATGAACAAAACCCCAATCCTACAGGAAATATCACAAAGAATCAACAACTGGGAACTCATTTTGCTAAAAAAAACTTTTGCACAGCAAAAGAAACTACCAACAGAATGAAGAGTCAATGCATATGTGTGAAAAGTTTTTGCTCACTTTTCCTCAGGCAAAGAAAGGACTAATATCTAGAATATATAAAGTGGTCAAAAAAGTCAGACCCTCCCAAATTTAAAGACCCAACCCAAAAATGGGCCCCTGAAATGAACCGACATTTCTTAGATGAAGAAACAGAAATGGCAAATAAATATAAGAAAAAATGTTCGACATCACTGGTCATTTGAATAATGCAAATTAAATCAACTATGATACTCCATCTCACTCCAGAAAGAATGGATGTTATCAAGAAATCAACCAATAGTGCAGACTGGTGCAAGCGCCGTTGAAATAAAAGTGGAGACACCTCAAAAAACTAAATTACAGGTTTCACTCAACCCAGCTATTCCCTCTTGGAGTTAGAAGCAACATATCACAGCAATATATGAACACACAGGTTTATAGCAGCACAGTCTATAATAGCTAAATCTTGGAAACAGCTCAAATGTCCATCGACGGATGACGGATGAATGCACAGAAAATATGTGACAATGCACCACTCAACCCAGCTATTCCCCTCTTGGAGTTAGAAGCAACATATCACAGCAATATATGCACACACAGGTTTATAGCAGCACAGTCTATAATAGCTAAATCTTGGAAACAGCTCAAATGTCCAACAACTGGGATCTCATATTACTAAAAAGCTTCTGTACTTCAAAAGAAACCATTAGCAGAACTAAGAGACAATCTACAATCTGGGAAAAAATTTTTACCTGCTGTACCTCAGACAAAGGACTATTATCAAGGATATATAAAGAACTCAAAACAATCAGTCCCCCCAAATATAAAGACCCGATTCAAAAATGGGCATCCGAAATGAACAGACATTTCTCATACAAAGAAGTAAAAGCAGCAAGAAAATATATGAAAAAATGTTCCACATCACTGGTCATTCGAGAGATGCAGATGAAAACAACACTGAGATTCCACCTCACCCCACAAAGAATGGCTGCTATCAAGAAATCACACAATAACAAATGTTGGCGCGGTTGCGGGGAGAAAGGAACCCTCCTCCATTGTTGGTGGGAGTGCAGATTAGTGCAACCACTATGGAAATCAATATGGAGATACCTCAAAGAGCTTGGACTGGAGGTTCCATTTGACCCAGCCATCCCTCTGCTGGGTATCTTTCCAAGAGAACTAAAAGAATCATATCACAGAGAAGTATGTGCACCCATGTTTATAGCGGCACAGTTTGTAATAGGTAAAACTTGGAAACAACCTATTTGCCCATCCATTGGAAACTGGATAAAGAAGTTGTGGTTTTTCTATAAAATGGAATATTACTCAGCCATAAAGAGCGAGAGAATAGATTCATTCATAGGAAAATGGATACATATTGAAGATATACTCCTAAGTGAAATAAATAAGTCCCACATGTGTAAATACCAAATAGTTTCCCTGGTGTGAATATTCTGCAACAATGCATAAGATTCTAATAAGATTACTGACATTTAGAAATTTGAAGAAAGGAGCTAAAGGTGTAGGGAAGGTGTGATATGTAGGGGAAGAACAAAAAGGGAAAAGAAAAAAAATATGAGAGAATGAAAAGATGAAAATAAAGTGCTTGTAGATGGGGAGGGGAGGAGGGGGTGAAGGGAGGGCAGAGGTAAGGGGAAAAAATGAGAATCAAGACTTGCCATGTAAAGGTACATGATCCCAACAATGAATGTAACTGTACTGTATCCCTAAAATGTACCAATAAACTCAATAAAATTAAATTAAAAAAAAATACAAATGTACAAATGGTTAATCATTACAAATGTCAACCAAAGGCCAGGGATTTAGTTCAGTGGTTCCGCCACCTGCCTCACAAGGGCAAGATCCCGAGTTTGATCCCAAGTACTAAAAAAATTTAAAAATAAATAAAAATAAAAATGTCAAACGCGAAGATTTAATATAAAATCTTAAATTATGCATCATCATCATTATTTCATGTGCCTTTCCTCCCGTTAGCCTGGGAATTTCATCAGAGAATATTTCACTTTATATTTTTGTTTCCAAGAGCACTGTCTAGAACATAAACGTTCAAGAAACC